TTATCTGGATAAAATAGGTATGAAACTATGAAGGAGAAAGAGGAGATGGAGGATGAGAACTTCCTAATGAAAACAAGTACACTAGCTTAACTGAGGGGTAAGAGAAAGGTTGTAACTTGAAGAATGAAGGTAATAATATTTAGGGATGAAAGAAGACGGTAACACCTCAGAAGATCGGAGGTAGAAGCTTGGTCAGAAGTAAAAAAATGAACAAAAGAAGGGGTATTTATAGGGGTTTTGCGTTGTTTCACATTCAGGCAGGACCTGCCGATGGCTGACACCCGTTACACGACTGACTGGATGTTTTGGTTTATTTGTCATTTTTTGTCGCAGCATGTTGAAGAAGAGATCGAAGAACTCATGTCATTTCTCGTCGTTTCCGTAAAACTTACTCTCCGATAAACGAGTGGACTATTTGTATACGGGTAAAATCGAGCTCATGATACACCCGGCCTTCGATAAAATAAATTGATCTAGAGACATGATGATAAGGGATCGGAATCGAGGCAAGGGTCTTATCGAGTCAGATTTCGGGGGCATGACGCCCACCTTCGAGAATATTGGGGCCATGATCCGGGATCGGTCCAAATCCTAAAAGGCTTCGAAGAACGTTGTCAGGAAACCAAGCACGACCAACAGTAGACCATAATATCCGCGACCGACCGGATATCACGGCATGGATCTCGGCACGTATTGGTGATTAGTTGAACAGAAATTATTTTATCTTTTATGGAATTGTATCTAGAGTAGGATTACCCTACTATATAAAGGGGATCTGATTATTTATTAAACATATGGTAACACGCATTCCAAGGCAATATATTATTATTATTTTTGTTCTTTTTCTGGTTCATCAGTGCTGGTCTTTGTGAGCCCGGATCGAAATATTTCATTGATGCTAAAATCATCTTCCTCACGTGGTTTGAGTTTACTACATCTTTATTTATTTAATCTAACGCGATTTATTGTTTATATCGAATTAATTTGCGTATCGTTAAAATCACTTATAAATTTAATTGTTATAGGGTAAAGGTAGGTAAGATAAAATTAGAACTGATAAGGTTCTCTTTCTTTGTTTAATTTGCATTCTTAAGGCAAAAGAAAGATCAAATAAAGGAAAATTCAACTTAGAGGATATTTGTGTAAACATGTTGTTATTGAGTGCATTTCTAAGGAGGTCGTTGTCTTTTTGCAATAAACCACAAACAAGTAAGAGAAACAAGTTTCATTTTAAACTTAAAATATAAAATGGGTTGGGGGGGGGGGGAGAACAAAAAGAAAGAAAGAAAGAAAGAAAGAGAAATTGGAATAGAAGTAGCAGTGTCAATAATTGAGTGATTTCCACTTCGAATGCACTTACGGTACGTAAATAGTGTGTTAATTTATCAACTCAGCATACCAACTGTGTCGAAATATCATTTGAGCTAACTAGGGATAAGTGAAAGGAAACAAAAAACTAGACGACCCTTGATGCTGAAAATATATACAAAACAGTAAGTCATTAGAAAAATGGGAATTGTCTTTGGAAAAAAAAGAGACTAACTTTATATCTATATTCCTTTTTTCTAGTTGGCCGACATGTACTATGTGATTAGTGAAGTACTGATTTGATACATATATATAGAGTTAAAAGGGGAAGTTGTGGAGGAGCATGATGGATTGGTGAGTGGATTCACTAGTACAACAGCCCAAATAGAAAAAGAGAGACAAAAGGACACCAATGACCTAAAAGTAATGCACCATTTATTTGGAAAGAATATAGTAAACTTACAAGCTAGTCATCTCATATTTTAAAGCATCATTGACAATATTTTATGGACTCCACTACCCTTTTAATGGCTGCTTATCACTATTCAACTTACAAATACATACAAATCATATAAAGAAACAAGATTACAGCCTTGTACTTTGTCCCTAATCTTTGTGTTTTAAATTATTAATTGACCTTTGACTCACTTTTTCTAGCTATAAAGTGCATTGATTCACGTTTACACAATTTTTGATCGTGTGCTTAAAATGTTAGGTAAAGGATATGTGAACTTGAGATTTCATTGCTACCATACATGTAACCCTAAAATGCTTTTGTGACTCACCAACTTTTCATGGTGAAAAAGGGATTTGGGTGGGGTGCAATAGTGAAAAAGAAAAAGGTAAAGAACAATAATAGTGGTTTTATGATGTAATGATTAGTTGAGTTTCTTCTATTTAAGGCCACAATCAATGGGCTTACTTACCACTAGCTTGTCTGAAGAGCACACTAACTATTATCAATTTCAAACTCTGAGTAGATTATTAAGTGAGAAAAGATGCAGTGGGATGAAGCAATCCATGGGTCTTAGGAAAAGATAGGCAATTAGTTGGAGTGAAGGACTTTTAAATGGCCTTCCTCCAAATACAATTTTAAGTTTGTTCATACTCTGCCAATTTCAAATGCAGCAAAAAAGGGAAGTGTTTATGGATTGATAATCACACGAATAGCAAAGGATGTTGGCAAAAGCATGGCGAACCGGCAAGTCACAAAACGGCAATGGACTCCGTTTTGGAGTCTTTCTTGGCTTTTTACTTATTGTTGTACTTATATCCAGTCTTCTGTAATTGTGTTTTATTTGTAAATCACATGCATTGTGTGGTTAATATGGCTTATCAAAAATTTATAATAGATTTGTTAAGATTGTCATAGATCTCTTTCTCTAGTTCAACGTTAAGATGTTGTGTTGATGTCTTCTTCGGTTCTATCTTGGAATTGTGTTTGTACTGTCTCAATTTTCATGCATATTTTCTGGAAAGTTTTGATTAAACATTAGTGGCGATGACTAAAATCATCAATTACTTTATCTGCAACATTTAAATCATGATTCTGCCATTTTGGTATCAGCTGTTCATAAACTCACAACTTTCAGTTCAAACCATATGTATAAATTAAATATATATGTTTAGCCTCAAGCTCAGGGGCAAATCATGTATTCTGCCTATATATACACGCACGTACTCGATTTGCAAATTGTAATCATTCTATGCACATCAAAATCATGGTTACGTCTATGTTCATCCTGTATAAAACATTTTAGATGCTCTTATTCTAGAATACCGTGTAGATTTTGTAAAACAATTGCGTCGATTTAACATAATGATGATGATCATACAAGTTCACTACCACGAGTTTTCAAAATTAGAATTAAAGTCTGAAGAAACCTAAACTACTTATAGCTTCCCTAAGTCGCATGAAACTTGGATGGTAATTTCTTCAAACTATGTATAATTCTATGTATTAGCAACACAATAATTTCCATTATCACAGGAAGGATGGTATTGTTAATATGGTTAACGCTGATAAAAAACTTTAACCCCCCTTAGTATGTGAATGATTCGAATTTCAAATCAAGGCTAAAGGTTGGGGAAAAAACAATAAAAAATTAAACGAAATGGTGGCCAGTGGGGATTGAACCAATGACCTCACAAAAGTTTTAAACCCTTGACCACTAGGCTATGGTTTTGGGATGTGTCAAGGATATTCAAAACATAATATATAGAAATAAAAAATAGATTCTGCCTATATATATATATAGTGTAATTTTTCGACAAAAAAAGTTCGGGTAAACACCATTCCGCCCCTAAGTTTGTGAATGATTCGAATTTCAAATCAAGGCTAAAGGCTGGGGGAAAAAATAGGACATAGTATTAGAGTCCCTATCTCTCATATTTTAGTGTGATCAATCAAATATTCACATAGGGTGAAAATTTTCATACATTCTACCATAATCTTTATCCATTCAATCCAATCACTTCACAATTTATTTACTATTTGATCCCTGAATTATAATCTTCCTTTAATTTTTCGAAAAAGGGTCATATATGCCATTGAACTATGCGAAATAGGACAGATATGCCCGTCGTTAATAGTTTGGCACAAATATGCCCAATCCGTCCAATACTTGCTCATTCATGCCCTTAGTTTAACGGAACACTATTTTATCTTTCTTAAATAATTAATAACCAGACCCAACCAAAATTATTATTTTGTAATTGAAAATATTAAAATCATATGCAATTGTTTTTAGTTTAACTCCTCATATATTAATAATGTCATAGAAGAAGTAATAGTTTGATATAAAATGAGACAGAGATAATTAATTTTTCTTTTCTGTGTTGCTACTTGTTTGACAACTAATATTGACAATTCATGACAACAAAAATGATATAATTAATGATTGATGACCGGGACAACAATTAGACTTATGGCGCCTGTTGGATCTAATATCAAAGATGATGGAGCAGAAAAAATAAATATAAAAATGGAAAAGAAGCACCACTGTTGTAACAATTTATTAATTATTTCATAACAAATTTGTAATGCAAAAAATAGTCCAATAAACTAATAATCAATCATATAATGATCACTTATCTAAACAAAAAATTGGATCCATCAGGTTAAGTTATAGTGAACATGGAGTTATTTGTATTTGTATTGGTGGAAAATACAAATAAATTGTGAGAAAAATAAAAATAGATGGCAAAATGATTGAAGAAAGCACAAATTAATTTGAATATTATATTATTAAAACAATAAATAAATATCAATTACTACTTTTAGTAGGATTACTTCCCGAAATGATGTATAACAAAAAAAAATCGATTATCAAAGTACTCAAATAAATAAATATGATTATCACACAATTTCTAAATCAAACAAAATAATATATCAAAAAATATCTTTGAAATAAGAGTGGGTCGGGTCTTAATGGATCAGGTCAGTAGATTTTGGTTGGGTCCAGTTATTAATTATTTAAGAAAGACAATAGTGGTTCCGTTAAACTAAGGGCATAAATGAGCAAGTATTGGACGGATTGGGCATATTTGTGTCAAACTATTAACGACGGGCATATTTGTCCTAATTCGCATAGTTCACTGTTATATATGGCCCTTTTCCGTCAATTTTTTGATAGGTAAGCAAATTACTGAATTATAATCTACCAACGCATTATTCTATAAGCATACCAAACTTCATTCATTGTGGATATTTCATGCTTAAACGTTACATATACACCAATGTCAGCTAATCAAGAATTTGCTTTATCATTCCCTTCTGTTTTATTTTCCTCAATAGCAGAATGTTGTACAAATTGTACAGATCAACTTTCCAACTCCAAGAATACACAAGAACTCTCTGTAATGATACCTGCTCTATATGGACAAGTACCAAAAATAGAAAGAATGACCAAAACGAATCTGGACAAATAATCCAGTTCAACTTCAGTTTTTCCACAAACCTTTTCTGCTTTTCAGGAGAGATGCATATAACAACTCGTTCCAAGTGTCCGGTACTCCTGGTAGGCACCAATGACTGCAATCTTGAGCGTGTACTCCCGCCATTTGTTCTTCTACTGTCTTATACTCCTTTCTGTATATCGACGGGTGACCATCTTTTCTATAGTCTGTAAGCCTACTAATGTTCATATAGATAACAGGGGTCGTCATATTATGAAGCACGTGATGTAGGACTTTCATCTTTGAAGGGTACTTTTTTAAATAAGCCTTCTTGAATATTGGTTCCGTTTCTTTATGGCACTGCCCACCTAAATTCCATGGACCTCCCCTGTGTAAAACAGCATAAAACTGTTTATGAACATGGACCAACAAAAGGAGAAAAATCATCGTAACAAGATTGATGGCATGCTAGTTTTTACACGAGACAGCACCAACGGAGACTACATGTTTTGCTACTAGTTGATCTTTAAAGTGATCATTCTTCTACGGCCAGTAAGTTTGCAGTCAGCAAAAGACTTGACCATCTCACTTGACAATATATACCTTTATCTAACCACAAAACAAGACTACTAGCAAAACAGGAGAACATTCATTTTTAGAAATAACCTTCCCAGACCTCCCTCGATGTCCTCATCCCGCCCAAAAGACTATGCTTGTCATCAAATAATTTTTCAGCATAATCAGCCTAGGAATTCGTTAAAATTTTCACAAAATTTTCATCTTTAGGAGATTTGCTTTTAAAATAAATTTAATGTCTAAAACCAGTACAATAATTATATATTATCCATGCTATGTCTGAAAACATTCAGTTACATCTTCTATTTTACAGTCCCACACCATAGAGCCAGAGATTGTAAACATTCCACTAATGATTAACCTACAACATATTAGCCAGTAAATTTACTATATTTCCTCTTTATAAGATGATCTAAAACTAAAGGTTTTTAAAATCTTACACTTATCCCTGTACCTACAATCTGCATACAAATCTCTAACCCAATTAAAAAGTCTCTTGTAAATCTGCGGAGACCAAATCTAACAGCAGCCAAACCTTCATCTCAACTAGTTAGAATCGCCTATATGGATCCTTTGCTTGCATTCTGTTATGTTCTTCGCTACATCCACATTGATTCTATTCTTTAGCCTATGAAACTTGAAGCGGTTCTGTTAAATGCTACACAGCATTTTTGGTCCTTCAATTTATGGAAATATGCTATAAAAATATTGTCCTGGCCAGTAACCTCGGGATTTCCCTAATTTCCACCCTAATATTCACCGTTTGCAGTCAATTAAGAACTGAATACACAATTAATACATGGCATCAGCTCATAACCGACACATGTTGATCCAAGCCACAATGTCAGTGAAGTGTATGGCTCCTGGCACTTGGACAAAAGGATTAAGATTCAACTTGTTCACACCGACTTCCAAACAAGAGATTCCTTAAGAATGCCTCAATACCAAAGGAATGCAACATATAAGTTACAAGTAGAATTCCTGATTGTGACATCCTCCATTAGAGTTCTAGCTAAATTAACATGTAAGAAAGAATTGTACCTGAAGTGAGTGGCGGAATATCCTCTAAAAAAAATTTGAGTTCTGCTTCCATCAAGGTTCTTATCCACCCACCTTGCCCAAGTGGAAAGCGCTCTCTTGTACGCTTCTAAAACCTTGAGCCTAGCATGCACATGATTACCTTCCTGGTAGTAGTCTTCCCTACAATCCCACAAAGAGCACAACTTTACATATTTCAACCAAAAATGACATGCAATATCCAGCAGCTCCATAAAGAGGAAGCTTTAGAAATAAAATACAGCACTAACCCTCTGGAGGTTTTTTCATGAGTCCACCAATGACCAGTGTTAAAGATTACAATATCAGCGTCACTATACATTGAAGTAGTCTTTTCCATCAAATCCAATCTTAGTGTCTCGAAAGAACCATTCTTTCCCTTAAAAGCTGATTGTCTGACCAGAAACGGCGAGCTAACAAAGTCCACAGAACAGTTATAATCCTGCAAGCAAGTCACAGCATATTAAGATGACAAGGAAACAGAGTTAGCAATTCTCAGGTCACAGAAAGATGTTAGATAAGTCTTGCCTCAAATCTGAATGCATAGAAGCCCTTCTTTTTGAATTCATGCCTTCCTGATATCTCATAAACTCGCTTTTTGTCTCGGATACTGTGGCGAAGAATGCAAACAAGGGACTCCCACATGTTCCTATTCAAAGAATCCCCCACGAAAACAAGCTTTTGCCCTCTCAATCTCTCCAGAAAATCAGTTGCATTGAGGCTAGTAAGTGAAGAAGTAAAATCAGTTAACTGACTAATATAACTCAATGAGTAACATAGACTATCCAAATCAAATAAGTACCAGTAGCAATGTGAATAATGTCAAACGTTCAATTCTTGAAACAAAGAAAAGTCCAATTTTGAAAACCATTTAAAATGACATCAAGTTTGGCAATAGTTGCATTTTACCAAAGGCACTCAAAGGAAAATACTATTCATTGTTCCCAAAGGTGTGCACTCGAACTTCACACAAGATATAGTCAACAAATATTACCCCCAAGAAAATTACAAGCTATTGAAACATACTGGATCAACTGATCAGAGTATACATTTATAGTGTTTCAAGTAGCATCGGAATTACAGAATTCTATGTTCTGTCTTAGGTATTTCCACAACACTTGTTCTGTAAGTTCAAGGCAAAAAGTCAATTTTGAAGTATCACCTGTATACATCATAGCAACATCCATGATTGAGGATTTCTAAAGCCTAAGTTCTAATTCATAGTCAATATATAATAGTATAACTCGGAATAAGACCCTCACCAAGGGAAGGATTATTTAGTACGTCGTTACTCTTACCTCGGTATATCACATGCATATGGCTGCCATCTCCACTTGATATACCCATCATCTGGCCTCTTATTAAGGTGACAATCAAAATCTCTATCAATAATAGGACAAGAACCCGGAGGATAATGTGGCTTCGTGTCATCTCTAACCCATTCGCCATCAAATATATCACAATCCCCATAAAAGTCCTTGCCGCGTCCAATCAATGATTTTCCATCATTTGAACCAATTCCACCGTTCCGCTCCACAGATACACCCCCTTTACCTTCAATCACTGCAACTTTTTTTCTTTCACCATTTGATCCAACAACATCCTCAACATAAGTAGGACCGCCCACATTACTATTTACAGAACCAATATCACTAGCACCAGAAAAATTGGAAAATGTTATATTTCCATCAATGCATGACCCATTCAATTGAGGGGTATTCTTGGTAATCCCTGATTCTTGAACAACAAAGCTTCCATTTTTCACATTCTCAAAGAAATTCCCCACATGGGTATTTCCCCAAACTTCCCCCTTTTCCCCCAAAACTGTTCCTTTCCTAGAAAAATTGGAAAAATTCCTACTTTCATCAACTTGAGAACCATTTAATTCATGAATATTCTTGGTAATCCCTGATTCTTCAACATTAAGATTTCCATTTTTCACAATCTGAGACAAGTTCCCTTCATGTATGCTTCCTTCAATCGTTCCATTTATTACTAAAGAATGAGAACCCTTAGAACTAAAACTAACACTAGTAGTACTAACATTACTAGAAGAAGAGAATGGCCAAGAAATGAGGGTACTTTTATCACTATAACTAAAACCACTTAAAACAGGGCTTAAAAATGGAGACTTGAACGAATAATTCAACAGTAGAATACAAAGGAAAATGAAAGAAGACGCAAGAAACAAACCAAAGCCAGAAACAACTATACTCCTTCTTGGAGATGAACCCAAGTATGAAAATTGATCAGAAATTGAAAGTTTCTTTAAGTCCATTGTAATTCACAATCATTTCAAAGAAACCCCATTTCCAAAAAAGCTATTAATGGAAAAAAATTTGGAGTCCTATAAGTTTCTTTGTAGAATACACCAATTAGTACAATATGAACAATCTTTTTTCTCTAGGGAATTTCGTAGATGCTTTTGGAAATTACAAGGGAATGGAGAGGAATGAAACTCTTGGGACATTTATTTTTGGAGAGGAATGATTTGGAAAAAGGAAAAAAGAAAAAAACATATGCGAGCGTTTTATTGTAGAGGCAGAAGATGATAGGGTAGTAACGACAGTGTTGTAGAAGAAAAGGTTTCTTTTTCTATCTCGTTTTGTAAAGGACACATGGTGAAAATTACATGCAATAGTTTAAATTTTACCCAACTGTCCACTTCTTTTTGACTTATAGCCGTTTGGCCAAGCTTATTTTTGAAGGAAAAAAGTACTTTAGAGCAGAATCAGAAACAATTTTGGAGAAGTAGAAAAAAGTAATTTTTCTCCAAAAGCATTTTTTTGAAAAGCACTTTTGAGAAAAATACACTTAGAAATAGTTTTTTAAAGCTTGACCAAATACTAATTGCTGCTCAGAAGTACTTTACAAACTAATTATACAAACACAAAGTGCTTCTCACCAAAAGTACTTTTGAGAAAAATACTTTTAAAAAAAAACACTTCTCTAAATAAGCTGATTTTTGCAGCTTGGCCAAATGGGCTATTATTATGGGGTTTGAATTACTATAAAATTTTCGGAAAAGGGTCAAATATGTCCTTATACTATTGAAAAAGGTCTAATATTACCTTTCGTTATACTATCAGTCCAAATATACCCCTAATGTCATACTATCGGTCCAAATATATCCCTGACATCATGAAAGTGGTACAAACCTACCCTTCCTCCGTTAACTGTCTCTCCTATGAACACATTTTATTGCTACCTCACCATTTCACCATGTTTGCAGCTACCAAGTTCAATTACTTTAAAGTTCTATCATTATTTTGAAGACTTCACTGCCTCTATTTCCTCTTGCTTTTTAAAATACCTGTTGCTTCTCCGGTCGATCCTGGAATTGTACGTACATTTTACTTGATCTTACAATTTTGTGTTTTATTTTGCATTTTCTTGTGTTGTTGCTAAATTTGTAAGACCTATTTTGGGAAAAATTTAGTAGCACTTTTATTTTAACATAAAACGTAAAGAGAGAAAAAATGGTAGCCTTCCAGAAATGTGGTTGAAGAGAAAGAAACAAAAAACAAATTAACTCTCGTGTCTAGGTTGGTTTTCTTTCTCACCATGGTCAATTTTGAAACCTTAAACTAGTTTGCCTGTATCTTTGCTTAGTTTTTTATATAAAACAAAATGTATTTTCGTTCGTATAAGCATGAATTTTGAATAGCAAATTTAGAATTTTCTCGGTTCACGTTATTTCATATTATCTTTAGGTGTTAGCATTTCTTTTGATATAGTTTGTTTGTATATATATGATCTGTGATTTTCTTCAAATGAAGGGGAAAGAAAGATTGTGGAGAAGGGATGAAAATGGAAGTATAATGGTGAGGTAGCAATGAAATGTAGTCATATGGAGGCAGTTAACGGAGGAAGGGTAGGTTTGTACCACTTTTTTGATGTCAGGGATATATTTGGACCGATAGTATGACGTTAGGGATATATTTGGACTGATAGTATAATGGAGGACAATATTAGACCTTTTTCAATAGTATAGGGATATATTTGACCCTTTTTTGTATAATTTTTTCAAATAAATTGATCTGAATTTCCAATTTTTTTCTTTCATTCTCCTAGACCAGTCCACTAGTCTTTTCAATTTGAACTAGAGCTGTCAAACGGGCCGGGTTGACCCGGAACCGGCCTAGACTGGTTGAAACCCGAACCGACCCAGCCCCGGTACTTAGGGGGCCGGATGGGCTGGGTTACTGTGGTTAGGGAGGTTGGTCCGTTCACTTTAATTCATTCGGTTAACCTGATTGGTCAAACTCGGTCAACCAAAATCCTATAGAACCGATTAACCGGCCCGGCCCGGTTCGGACCGGTTTAAAGGCTAGATTTCAATTTTTTTCTTTTTAAGGTTTTAGAGTCTAAGGCAATGCAAAACCTTTGAATTTACTCTTTTTCGTTAATTTACTTGTTAAATGTAAACCTTTCAATTTGTAAGTTTGAATTTTGAAATAAATGTAGTACTTGCAATTTGTAAGTGCAACTTTTTTTCCATCTTCATTGTATTCTTTATATTTTTACTGTATATTAATATAAATTACAATAGTTATACAAAGTATAAAAAAAAATAAAAATAAAAAACACTAACCCGACCCAGCCCGACCCCTTGGACCTGTAACCCTTACGGTTCGTTTTTTACCCGGATAGACCCGGATCCGTTAAGCTTGGTAAAGACTAACCCATAACTGGCCCGGATCGGAAATCGGACGATTTTATTTTTTCCAATCCGGCCCGGCCCGGCCCACCTGTTTAAAACCCTTAATTTGAACTAAAGTCAAGTGCACCCATCATCCTAGCATAACTCAAATAAAGAGGATTACGGTGGTGTTACTTTTCCTAATAAAAGATGGTTAATTAAGAGTTAAGTTATTTGAACTAAAACCATAAAATTTTTAGAAAGAATTACAAAAAAATACACATGACTTCACACCATAATAAAAAATAGCTTATGTTTTTAAGTTTTACCCGACCTAACTCATATTTTACATATTTTGAAAACACTAGCTCTTGCAAATTTAAAATTTGTGTTCTTACAACCATTGCTTCTAAAAATTATGGAGTTAAATTTTTGTTCACAAAATCATTGCTTTCACTCTCTCTTCTTCTCACATCTTTTACATATACTTTAAGGGGTCGTCCGCCATTACTGCTTTTCCCTCTATGTTACCTGGTTGCAATGTAAAAAAATTAAAGAGTAGAAGTCTACCATTGAAGGTCATTCAAAGCTTTGCTTTCGAAAATAAAACTTTTTGAGTTTGTTAGTTGTTTGGATTGGGTGTTGTTCCAATTGATTGAAAATATCAAAAGGAGATCAAAATTAAAATTTGAAGTGATTTGGAGTAGATTTGAGCAAGATTAGTTAAATTTTAGAAAAGACGCAAGGAAGAAGATGAAGTCAGTTTTTTGTATAATTATGTATAATCTTGTATAATAGTGTATATGAGTATATAAACACTTCTTATATGTCTTTATACAAGCGTATGTAGACGAACTTCTTCCACGATTTTCAGTTGCAATTCTTGTTAAAACCAGTTCAAATCTCCATTAAATAACTTCAAAATATATAACCTCATTATACTTTTTCTAACAAGTCTAAATAACACCCACTCCAAATTTCTCACAAAATCAAATTGGAATTTAAACCCACATATTTAAGCTTGTTAAAAATCTAATTTTATCATCCAAACGGATTTGGTTTGTTGAACTAATATTTGAGTCACAGTTACTGATTCGAAAATTAACTTAAAAGCTTGAACAATCTTTTTTTTAAAATTAAATAGTAATTTTGAGAACCTATTAGAGTTAGATGTTGAATCTTAGCCTATTATTTTTGGACTAATTGGTTATAAATTAAAATATGGGCTATAAAATTAATAAGTAGGGAATCCAGTTATTCTTATTTGAAATTTTCCCAAAATTTTATTACACTATTAGGAAATTTACATATAATAGCAAGGTAGTTATCGTTTTTACAAGATTATAAATTAGTGCTTGATCAACAAATTTATATGCAATTGCCTAATAAATAGCACGGTTGTGTAAATAATTTCTATACTATTAGTGCATATAACTTAAACCCCACACTAAACGATATTTCCTCTGTTTCATATTATGTGTCGTGTTTTTCTTTTACATTCCCCTTAAAAAAATATTAATTAGGAAAAGGATTGGACTATTGTACCCTTATTTATGTCTTAAGATATAATCTCTCTTCATTGAATATTTATTCGATTTATATGTTTATCTCCATCTTTAAGAACAATTATTACTAAAGGTAAAAAGGAAAAAAAATAATTAATTTTGTCTTGAACTTCTAAAATGACAAATAATTTGAGACAACTATTTTTAATAAGGAATTTTTACCTCCTATAGCAAAGGTTAACACCTTATTTATTTTAAATAAATACCATTTAAAAAAATTATATTCTATAGATACCTTTTAAGGTTTATAGCAAAATATTTAATTTTGGTTACCTCCTAGCCCTAAGCCACTGAATATGCTAATCAGTTACATTTTTTTTTCTCTCTCTACTTTGATACATCCCATTATATTCTATCCAAGGTGGTCTTTCAAATCGTCGTCCGTGGTCGAACTCATTGATAGCTCGACCTTCTCCAAACCCGAATCCGTTTCTGATGCTACCCTCCGTATCCGCAAAAACTATTCATATTTCCATACCAATTACCTTTCCCTCATCGTCGTTGTTCTCGCCTTTTCCCTAATCACAAAACCATTTTCCCTTTTTCTTCTCGCCGGTCTCCTTGCTACTTGGCTTTTCCTCTACCTTTTCCGTCCGTCGGATCCGCCTTTGGTTTTATTCGGTCGGCAGTTTTCTGAACGTGAGACGCTTGGAGGTCATATTGTTTCTACGGTGGTCGTGATCTTTCTAACCAGTTGTCTAACCAGTTCTTATAGATACCATTTCAATGTATTTTCATGTATTTCATTGTATTCATTATCTTTTTTTTCATTATAATTTAATGTATCTCGTTATATTTCATTGTATTCACGGTCTTTTTTTTCTCATTGTATTTCAATGTATCCCGTTGTATTCTATGTACTTCATTGTATTCACTGTCTCGCTATATGCCATGAATGTATTCATAAGTTTTTTTTAATTAATATAATTTATGTACTCAGATGTATTATATAATTTCTCTGAAGTTTGCTATATTTTTGGGGTATTTTTCGGTTGAGAATCTTTTTTATAACTGAAAATACAATATTTGTGTGTTATAATTGAGTTTGTTGAGTAATATTAGGAGTCTATTATGTTAATTGGTTCACTTTCCATTTTAAAAATAGTGTAATCCCCTATTTCACGCCGTGAATACAGTCGAATACAATAATCTGATCAGCTGTAATCCCATATTTCACTCTATGAATACAGTCGAATACACTCGAATACAATAACTGATTAGCTGGACTTCCTGATTCACGCCTATTTTTGCTACTGTATTCATGAATCCAATAGCTTAAATACATCAAATATATGTTATAACTACATAAAAGGTATTTATAATCCGTAATATAGCAAATGGTATCTA